AGGGAACTCAAGGTCCCAAAGCAAGGATCATAAGAGAGGGGCAGAACTTAAGAGTCTAAGAATAAGTGTAAGTGCACAGGGGGAAAGGAATCAGGGAGAGACATGGCAGGCTGGTGGTCATGCCCAGCAATTGGAATGTTGGCACACCCCCTAACCAACCTGCTAGCCAAACATTGAGAGTTAGGATCCATTATGGATCAGGTTATAGCCTAGGCAGTAACTAGGATACTGTCAGGTCAAGACCTTAACTCAGGCATATAGAAGGGAATAGAGGTAGGGATTCATAACAGAAACAGAAGCAAGGAAGAAAAATATTTAGCACAAATTACTGAACAAGAGCAGTAAAGTAAACAAAAGTCTGAAACTGTAGAGTGAATACATAGGGGTAAGGCAGAAAATTAAATAAGAGACATACCAGTTTCAAAGGAAAATAAGTAAGAAAACAGTAGCCTTGAGAGAGCCAAGTTGCAAACAAAGTAATTCCAAAAGATTTCAAGCAAAGCCAAGTATTGAATTCAAACAGTATTGCAAGACAATAAGTAATCAGAAGTGTTTTTGTTCGTGTGTATTTCTGTGCGTATTTCAGTGTGTATTTCAGTGTGTATTTCAATGTGTAAAGAGGGAAGACTAGGTCTTTATATAGTTTTGAAAACAAGTAATACATAGGCAAAGGATGCACAANTAAGTAAGAAAACAGTAGCCTTGAGAGAGCCAAGTTGCAAACAAAGTAGTTCCAAAAGATCTCAAGCAGAGCCAAGTATTGAATTCAAACAGTATTGCAAGATAGTAAGTAATCAGAAGTATTTTTGTTCGTGTGTATTTCAGTGTGTGTAAAGAGGGAAGACTAGGTCTTTATATAGTTTTGAAAACAAGTAATACATAGGCAAAGGATGCACAAACATGGAAATAGCAATCAATTAGTGTCAATTAAGACAACTGGAATCCTTTAATTAAGGAGTCTAGCTCAAACGGTTAGTCAAGACAGAATAAGGAAAGAAATTAGTTCAATGGGGCTAATTAGGGCAGAGAAACCACATAGTGCATAAACAAGGTCAAATACATAGTGGGTAATTAAGGAAAGTTGGAATAATAGTGTATTTATAAAGTAAAAATAGGGCATCAGTTCGAAAATCAATCAAGAGGATCCCGGATCCAATTGTAATCACAGGGAATCAAGGTAATAAAGGAAAGAATCATATAAGTATAGAAATAATTCAAACATTGGTACATAATTACAAAAGGAATACACGAGACCATGTATTTAAGGAAATTATCACAAGCATAGAATCTCTACACAAAAAGATCAAAATAAACAGCTAGTAGGGTAAAGGAGGTTCAATCGAAAAAAATCAGTAAGGAATCATTAGCCTTATTAAAGGGATTTCGGAATCAATCACTTGGTTGTGAAAACCCTTTGAAAGAGGAGTTTTTCTCCTATATAAAGCACCTAAACCAAACAAAAGAGTCGTTTACCCTAGAAAAGAGTTACTGAAAGTTTCAGGGTCACAAACAAAAGGATTCTAGTTTGATTACAGGCTCATAGTGAGTCTGCAAACCTAGGGTCCCAAAGTGGAACCCTAGTGCCACTTTAAAAAGAAAATCCCCAAATATTTAGGGTTTCAAATAGAATCATAGGTGAGAAATCAAAGTCACTGAGAGAGNAACCCTAGTGCCACTTATCAAAGAAAATCCCCAAATCTTTAGGGTTTCAAATAGAATCAGAGGTGAGAAATCAAAGTCATTGAGAGAGGCTTAGAAGCCCCTTTCAAAGGCTTGTGAGAGGCAAACATACACAAATGAATTCAGAAGAAAGAGAGGCTACGAGTTTTAAACAAAGTAGGTAAAAACATGCTTAGCATGAACATCAACAAAATTTAGTAAGATGAAACAAAATCAAAGAGCTCAAACTTAAACACATATAGCAAAGAATGAGGAACAACAAACCGAGTTAACATATGAGCATGAGAGTGACAAAAAGAACAGAAAGGTCTTTCATAATCAGAAAAGAAACAAAAGAGAGCAAACTCGAGCATAATAAGAAATAAACATACGAGTATAAACACACATAAAGAGAGAACAAAGGAGTCAGAAAACATTTAAAGAAACTTTCCAGAAATCCTAAAAATCGAATTTGAAAAGGAAATTTTGGGGAAAATCTTAAGACGTCAAGTAAAGACCAGGCATGGCACAGATCTAAGAAAAAAAGTAAGTATAGAACCTTAGACGGCTTAAAAACAATAGAGAAGACCCTAGAATGAGAAGGTCTTGAGGAAAGTCGGATCCTGTGTCGAAGAGACTCATATTGCTCGAATACGCCGGAAAATGGCCGGAGAGGCCATAGATCTTACAGATCTGAGATAAATCTAAAGAGAGCCATTGAAATCAACCTTCAAACCTTGAGTGGCTTAGGTTTAATGGTGAGAGAGAGTGAGCACAGGCCATCCATGGCCAGGAATGCCATGGATTCCGGTAGAAACATGACAGAAGTAGGTGGGAGTCGATTAGGGTTTTGGGGAGGGCTAGAGAGGATTTGGGAGATGAAGAGAGTTCAAAGGCGGCGTCTTTGATACAAATGAGTTAGGGTTAGGGGGTATGGGAATTAAAAAAGGAAAGAACGAATCACGACCGTTGATCAAAATGATCAACGGCCAGAATTAAAGAGGAGGTTGGGCGGGTCTGAAAACGGGTGAAGGGGTCGGGTTAAAATTGGAATTGGGTCGTTTTAAATTGGGTGGAATTGGGGATTAAATTGAGGTTAAAATGGAAATAGAAATGGCTATGTGTTAAATAGCCAATTTTCCCCTCTTTCATCTTATAAAAATAGTTAAAATGATTTTAAAACAAATTAAAAGCACTGAACATAGTTAATAATATATAAATATTAATCTAAAAATACTGAAAATGATTTTATAGTTGCAAAATGCTATCAATCGTAGAACAGGCTATAATTGCAATTATATGCAATTTAGTTTTAAAAATATCAAATAAATTTGTAAAAAATATGCAGCAATTATCTTAACTATATTTTGATATAAATATGGGAATAAAAATAAATTATTCACCAAAATTGATGATTTTGGGAATAATTATGGATTTTGTACTGCTAAAATGGATAGTAAATTGATTTAAAAACTCTTCAAAAGATTGGAAAAATACTAAAACACTTGGGTATGCTTATGTATGTATATATATGTTATTTTGAAAGCATTTTGTATATAAAAATACATAGGGAAAAATTGGGTATCAACAGGAGTCTCTCTCCATTCTCTCTTGTAGTTACAGCCCTTCCGTATTTACTTTAATTTAGACATTCTGGAGTTAGAGCACTATGTAGTATCCTTAGCATGTGATTTTATGAGATTCCGGGTTTTGGGAAGTTGTTCAGTTTTTGAGATCTTGTATTAGTATATGCCGAACGGCATCTTAAACGCTTCTATATTCGTTTATCTTCAGTTTTTATTAGTTTTCCGCATTTTATTTTCTTTTTCCACAATTGTTAGGCTTATCTAGTCGTAGAGACTAAGTGGTGTCACGACAGTTCACGGAGAGCAAACTTGGGTCATGACATCTGCAAACTTTATTCCTTGCAATTCCTATACCTTTTGGGCATTTCTCTAGGTTTCTTTTGTTAGGAATTTTTGTACTCTATTCATGTATTATTTTGTTCTTTGATTACCTCTAATAGCACTATTATTCAGTGCTGTTCCAACAAATTGAATATCTTTTATCAATTGGTATTTCCAACTTTTCACCTGATCACTGGTACCGTGTCAAAGAAGGGTTCCTTGTGACCCTGTGAAAAATGGGATTAATATACAAAATTCAAGGTGTGATCTGGTAAAATGTTCATTGAAGCCTTAAAGAACTCCTTAGCCACAACTCATACATAACCATATAAAAGGCATCAAAATCTACAGGGGACATATGCCACTGGAAGTGTTTTCTCCCCTTCAGAACATTGCTATGCAACATCAAGTACTCCTGCTGAGTTATGCCTTGAAGGATTTTCTTCAATAAAGGGATGTCTAACGTGGCAACGATGACTGAAAAATGCTTCCAATCTAATATGTCTGCAAATGGAAGATCATAATGGTTCGCAATGATCACAGGTACACAGCCATAGAACAAGGCATCAGCAACGCGAGCGGTGTTCACTTCATAGCCTTTGACATGAAGGCAGAATTTGCTATCAAGTAGTTCTTCGGTATAAGATCTTTCAAGGCGACCAAAGTGCACAAAGATGTCAGAATCATTTCCCCACCACTCTAGAAGCTTTTCACGTACAGGAGAATTTATTGTTCCAGCAAAAAATCCTAGCTTTTTCCTGAAAACATTCAATAAAATGAGTATATTGATCTCTACACAAGAAGAAGCCCCCCACATGGCAAATAAAGATCTGAACAATATATTCATCCAAAAGCTTCTCTAACAGTGCAAGTGATTATTATCTAAGATAGTGAAATCTAATAATTTTTACTGACGGCAAAACCAACAGAAAAAAAAGAAACACTATCAAAGAAGTTTCCGGTGAGTGGTAAACAGCTGAAACCTTCGTCCATGAGCTTCCTATCTAGTAGCTACACGGCACCATATTCATATATACACATTTTCAGGTCAGGAGTTCTTACTGGTGGTCACTAGAGCTTCAACGTTCTTTAGTCTAGCTTGAAGCATACAGCTTAACACAGTCAACTGAATGTATAAAGGGCAAGTTAAAGGAAACCTTCTCAAGCTTGGATTAGCCCCCTCCCCCCTTCTTTTTGTCTTCCGTTACCTTTTTTCACTGTGTGTACAGAATCACACTTCTTCAAACAATATGAAGACGGCTATAACAATATCGGAGAACTACCAGCCGACTCAAACTGCTTGCTCATCTACCAAAGGTTGCTAGGAGGAACAGCCTCTTGCATACACCACAACAAATCAATTGTACCTTGTTGAATGGAATCCTCGAGCAGAAGGAGAAAAGAGGAAAGTATGAAGAAACCAGGTGCGACATACAAGCGAAACAGTGCTAGCCAGGAGCAGAACAAAGAAGCGGCACTTACCACTGACCAAGTTCTGAGTAAATCTTTCTCTCATCAAACAATTTACAAATGAGTTGGTGATTGTTTAAACCATCCCATAAGATATTTGAACTGCTTAGTCAAGAACAGGAATACCGAACTTAACCAAGAGACAACAAAGGTAAATCAAAAGGGAAAATAAATTGGAGTACCTAACAACGCGTCTTCACAGACCAAGAACTACGAGATCACCCCTTTCATTCTTCCCTTCTTTTGTCCGTCCACGAGGCTGTAAAAAGAAAGAAAGGGGCGGCTATCTAGCGGGAGTTGTTTTGGTCAGTGTTGTCTAAGGCGCGCTTAAGCCCTAAAGCGAGGCTCAAAACATATTGAGCACTTCGTCTCGCTTTGCGGGCGCTTCAGTGTTGCATCAAGGCTCCAAGGCATACTTTCCTAGCCAATGAGTGTAATCCTAAAAATGCAATACTGAACAATTGATATTTCACTTTATCGTTATTTTTTCTTCAATTTTTTTGTCCATATATTTGTTATTCATGCTTATAATTATTGGTCTTGGACTACATATATATATTTTTACTTTTTCCTCCAGTTGCACCTTTTTTTATTAAAGCCCTCGCTTTATTTGCGCTTTGCGCTTAAAGCCCCAACGGACCTTAGGGCTTTTTTGCGCTTTTCGCCTTTGATAACATTGGTTTTGGTTGTAATTCTTTTATGATGTACTTAATAACACGTCTCTGTTCAATAATTTCCACATTTAAGATTCTTATCTTCTCTTTTACCTAAGCCATTGTATTCTCATTTACAGCCAACTACAGAGTTTAGAAAATCTCTTAACAGTAAAATTTGCCCTTTGTCTCATCTGACTCTCATATCTACTCTATTTTCCCCATGAATCTCACCTCCACTGCTCCATCTTTCTTCCACAGCTACATTCTTGTCAAAGATATCTGACATTTATCATTCAGAAAAATAGTGCTTATCTGGTGGCAGCAGTGTGTATGGAGATTCCATTACAAAGCATTTGGGTGATGGTGCAGGGCCAACAATGTCACCAGGATTCTTTGTGCACTTGTGTCAAATAGGCAGGACCATGGACACAAGTATCACTACCTCTAATGAGTTCTGCAAAATACACTTAAACTTTCTATAAATTGGTCCCCCTATGTTCGATATCCTTACAGGTTCAGCGAACTATCCAAGTCCAAGTAATATATGGGAATAGTCACAATAACTGATGAAACGAATATCCCTTTAGGCTCTGGTGGGAAGTCCAGACCTAACTAGTTTCTTTAATATGTAGTAGAGATATTTCGTACTAATATGCAGACACCAAGTGGTCGCCGACCCTGAATGAAAATCTAAAAGACCAAAAGGAATAACCAAAAAGTCTTTACAACATAGACCATATTTAACCACGGAATTGGAATTAAGAATCTAAAAAGGTTAAACCTATAAAAACATCTAGTTGGCAAATGGATTTGATTACCTCAAAGTTTTATGAACAGGCTCCCGTACAAGACACGTCAATTTGCAGGTTTCACATGAGGTATACAATCTATTACGATTTAATATGCACATGGGAGCACAGAAGAAAGGCATATGATGAATGCCAAAAAAAGCTTTCCAAAGGATGGGCATATGATGAATGCCAGTAAAAGCTTTCCAAGATACACGAGAAGATAAACAAAATTATCTTGTAAGATTCCATGTGCTTATCAATAGACAGGTCATAATTTGGAAATTAACCCCAGCTAAGTAGTCCGATTTCTGAAATACATGCAGTAAAATAAGCTAATACAATTCAAAAAGACTCAACTGACCTTTTATAAGGTGCAAGATTTGGTTCACTTCCTAGCCTTGGCCAAATCTGGGGCAAGGATGCATCTTTATGTGGAATATATGCTGATACGAAATAACTTGAAGAACACACAACTTGGATCGCGTTAATCTTAACATCAATTGCTTTCTCCATGGCAAAACGACCAATGGAATGACAGGCAACATAGAAATGGTCAGCCCCGTTGGAGTAGTTCCAGTAAGGGTACTTATGACTAATATTGAAGATGTAGCTTTTTATGAAGTCTTTAATACCATCAATCCCCACTCGTGGATCATGCCGCAATCGTGCAATTGAGAAAGGTAGAAAGAAAAGATCTGCACTGGAAGGATCCTTTGTTGTGAAGTGGCTAGTCACAAGAACTTTCTTGAAGTAACTTTCACTAGCATAGTTTCCGCCTGGCTCAAAATCAACAGCCAAGAGTACATTGGAAAAGGGATCAGCCTTTTGGTGAGGATAAACATATATCTTCAAGCTCTTATTCATTTCTTTGTAGTCGTTCATAAAGGTATCTCTGTCATGGAATACCGCGTTGTCATTAACATACTTTCCTGAAAATAAAAGCCAACTATTTCTAGATCCAGAAAATAAGGGACAAAGCTCAGACAAGACAGTAATCAGGGCTATAACACCCTGCCAAAATGCCAATCAGGACAGAATATTATTGGGCTGCAGGCAATTAAATTTGCAGTAAATAATATAGCATTCACATACATAGTTACTTCAGATAATAAACTGACTAAAAATCATACTTATCAGAAAATAACCACGGCAGTTATCGATATGGCAAAGAGTTACAACTTATAGAAGGCCAAAATGACATAGCTGGAATCCACAATTATATTACACTACTATCTATTTCATAGTTCAAAGATACACTGGGCCGAAGATACTGGTTTAGCCATGTATGAATGACTTCTAAATATAGGAAAACCAATGGACAACTGGAACAAAATTAAGCTGGTATATCAACCTACAGCCTGTGGTTAATCAACATAAATACGACAGGCTACAACAAGATCAGAATCACCCCAACGGTGGGATAATCTTGAAATGTCTCCTTTTCTCAGTCCCAAACAGGAAAACTGGAAAACAGCTAATGCGACCCCAACTCCCAAGGTGGTAGTAACTCATACGACATGCCTCCAAGCTGGGAAGGGTTACTTATAACAATTTCAAGCATGTCAAAGTAAGAAAAAGACTGCACTCCAGGTCTAATAAAGTATAAAATATTAACCTAGAACTGCAAACCGGGAATTGATGTGAAGACCTTTCACCAGAGACCTCGAAAACAAAAATGTTTGGTGCCAAAGTTTTATATTACATAGAAATAATTTTTCCCATAGTTTCTTGCACTCCCCTCAGAATAATAAAGAAAAAGAAGAATAAAAATTGAGAGAACAACTAGGTTTAGATGATAGAAGGCACCTTAAGAGAAAATAATGACTCTGCAACTTTTCCTGTTTCATCTATTTAGATACCTTTCCAAAGTAAGCATGCCAAACTTAAGATTCAGATTATTATATTCATACTTCATTTTCGAGGTGAAAAAGCAAGAAGCAAAAGAGAATGAAGTGAAATCTCCAAAAAGTTAAATCTTTTATTTTCATTTCATCTACCGTATCCTTCTATGCATATGCTTAAACATTGTCCATTTACTAATTGGACATCATTTCTCTGAAACCTTTTACTTTCATTTAAATTTATTTTTTTCCTTCTTTAGATGTTATAAGCATTCACTAAGGGTGGATCCAAATCACCAACTCACTGAATAAATCAAACAATCAACTGAAATAGCTTCTAATGCGTCTAACGTGCCAAATGATGAACTTGGAAACCTATGTCGTTGAATGTACGAGATTCCCAGTTCTAAATAACTACGTCCTTTAAGCATCATCATGTGCCCAGTACCATTAAATCAAAGAATAAAGCATTATTCTTTAAGCATCAAATCAAATCGTTGAACATACGAGGTTCCCAAATGATGAACTCGGAAAGCAAATCATTGAACTGTACAAGGTTCTTAATTCTAAATAGGTAAGTCCTTTAAGTATCATCATGTGGCATTAATTCAATGAATAAAGCATATGATCCTTTAGAACAAAACTCAATCTTCACACAGTCCCTGGTATCAAAAACCTCGAGCAGTAAACTTAGTGTAGCAAATTCAGCAATTCTTTTAAGTTCTCAATGCAAAGTGCTAAAGAATAAACATCCTAACAACATAGCCACTTCCTAAAATCCTCTCTCCCTGCTACAGTTTTTGGCCCTTCTACCTTTTTCATGTTCACATTTGGTCAATTAGAATTTAATTCGAGGATAGAAAATAATATATTGTATTATATTTTTTCGGGCAAAGAACAGTACAACCCTAGCCAACCCCAAATGGTCATGCAACTCGCCAATCGGTTTAGGGAAAACCGGCCGGCCCTTTAACTCATACTGAACAATCTCTTACATTAGACCTTCTTCATAATGGAAATTGGAATACTAGTTTCCTCTCCTTTGAACTCCCCGCAGATATCTCACTTCTCATCCATAATACTTAATTTAATTCCACTTCCTCATGCACAGATGCCTTCTGTTGGTTTCCGAACAATATAGGCTCCTTTTCTCCTAAATCCACTTATCAATTATATCTTAACACCCGTTGCAACCTTCCTTCTAATCCACCTGATGTCTAATGGGTTTGGTCCCTCCATATCCCACCTAAAATTCAAACTTTTCTTTGGCTACTACGTCTTAATCGGCTATCCACTGCTCCATATCTTTCCTTTATTAATATGCTTCCCCACCCTTTCTGTCATTCCTGTCCTAATAAAATTGAATCCCTCCAACACTTATTCTTTGAATGCATCAATTCTCATACTGTATGGAACTTCTTCCCTATTAACTTGCACGCAGCATCTTTCTCTGAATAGCTTAAAGATCAGTGTACATGCACCCATCAGTCATTCATCTACCGTGGAATTGAAGTTCCTACAGCTCAACTTGTCCCTTTCATTCTGGCACGTTCGGACTACTCGCAACCATAACCTCTTCCACAATTTATGCAACACTGCCTCTGTTCCATGTGATAGAATTTCACTATCTAACAGCAACCCCTGCCTTATCTCACATCTCGACTGCTCGGTATATTAAATGGCACCCACCCATGCCACATTTCCTTAAATTAAATATTGATGGTGCCTTTAACTCCACCACCAAAGCTGCGGGTGCTGCGGGAGTGTTTCGAGACCACCAATGTCGATGGATCCGAGGTTTCTCTACTCACCTCATTTGCTCATCCGCACTTGAAGCAGAACTACATGCTTTGTTGATAGGATTGCAAATTGCTCAGGACTTTCACTTCTACCCACTACAGATAGAAACAGATCCCTAGGTTATTGATGACACAGCTGCGACAGCCGGAACTTAAGCATATATATCGCGAAGCAAACGATGTAGCGGATCTCCTGACAAAACATGGCATGACCTTAGCTCCTTGTACTGGCCAACACCGTTGTCATCCACTACATTACGAAGAACCTCCGCATTATGTTTTACTTGATTTCAATAATGGCTGTTCAAACATTTGTATAAGAAGAGCAGTCCCCTTATGTACAAACTATACTACCTGTCTTTCTTAGCTTTTAATAATATTTCTGTTTTAGCAAAAGAAAAAAAAAACATTTTTCCATTTTATGTAATGTTGTTTGACTGGGCACCAGTTTAATAAGTAAATAAAAGATTTTTTTTCACAGGTATTTGTGTGTCAAAAAATATATATCATTATAAAATAAGAAGTTGAAAGTCAAATTGTTTCTAAATGTAGAAGTAATCTTTTTTAGAAGGAAAAATTACTCTTTTTGGGACAGACTGTAAAGTAAATTACATCACATAAAATTGGGGCTGAGGAATTAACTAATAGTAAAATTTTACGAAGTCAACGATTTTAAATTCTTTTCTTATCTTACCATTCAATTCCATATGCCTCTGGCTCTGAACATTTCCAATTCCCCCAGTACCAAAACTTTGCATAGAGCCAAGAAATGAAATGTTGACCGGTTTATGGGAGGTGGAGTTAAAGGATGAAAAATCAGAAGAACGAGTGAATGTGAGATGGGTTTGGTGGGAATGAGTGAAGAATTTGGAAATGAAGGAAATGTAGAAGAGAATTAAGAGAGAGGTGACGAGAGCTAAGGCTGTGGGTATGAAAAAGAAGAAGGATTGTGGTGAGTTTGAGTCACGACGGTGTGTGAGAATTTTCAGCATTATCGACAATGGAGTACTCGCCATTCAAGCTGCTGCCTGCTTCTTCAACAGTAAGTGCACATTCCGAGATGTATTGCAGGATGTAGGTGGAAGCATAAATGATGAATAGTTGCGGTACAAGTATTTATGGGTACAGTCACTTAAAATGCTGTTTTTTTTTTCTCTGACAAGTAGCAATGTCAACTGGAAATGACGCATAAATTCCTCGTTACATTCTTTCCCAGGCTAAAGTACAAATAAATCCCATATGTTTTGACAGTATCCAAACGGACCTTTGAATAGTTTTTGGAAAACAAATGAATTAATAAAACACATTAGAGAAAAAAGTTCCGAAAAATTGAGAAACTACTCCAGAGGTACTGTTTAGTTTCTGCAAACACAAATAGTATTTGGGTAAAAAGAATTTTGAAAACGATGAAACAGATTTTGTAAAAGAAATTGTCTAAACACTTTGCTTTTCTTCTTCTTCTTCCCTTTGTATGGTTAGAATTTAATTTTTTAATAAGAACATCACAATTTCTTTTTTTTGTTTTTGAAGTCATAAAGTTCTTAAATTATGTTTTGGTTTAATAGATGTTATTTTCTAATAATGCCAATATATGTTGTGTGGTTTAAGTAGATTTTTTTTTTTTTGAGTATATCTGACTATTAAGTCAATTGTCCAAATTAATTTTCTCAAAAATACCAAACTTTAAATTTTAATCTTTCCACCCCAATTTATGTGTCATACTTTTCTTTTCAATTTATTAAAAAAAATCATACTTCCATATTTAAAAATAATCTAACTTTAAACTTCTCATGTTATGCTTGCTACGATGATTCATAGCCACATTATTTTTATGGCTTATTTTTTACCGCAAGTTTCAAAAGTTTTTATTATTTTATTAAGTTTTTTGCATAATCAAATATTGCCATATAAATTGGGACTAAGGGAGTATCACTTTGCATGTTTATCATGTGTTTGTGTGTTACAAAAATAACAATAACAACAATCGTGCCTCAATCTCAAATAAATTGGGTCTCAAATAAATTAGAGTCGGCTATATAAATTTTCACGGGCTATATTTCTCCAATTAAAATTCTTCTCAAATGAGCATTATACAAAATAAATATAAAACATATTAGTAGGTCTCTATATTTTCTATTGTTATAAAAATCTCTAGTATGGCATAAGACTCCTAGAAAGTATATGATCTAAAGCAAAAATACTCGCATGACTAGAATATATGTTCAATTAATTGGTATCACTTATATAAATTAACTTCCTTCATTGTCTCCTACTTCTCGCTAAATCTGCATGAATTCCAATATAACATATATTCCCTCTGGTCTACTTTAACGATTTTTAATTGTTTTCACACATACTAAGAAATTCATCTTTTAACATTAATTAACAAGACCATATTAATCTTTATTATTGCCATGACCCAAAAACCATCATCCGGGCGTGATGGCGCCAAACTTACTTGCTAGGCAAGCCAGGCATAAGAAAAGGCGAACAAGATAATGGAATTAACGAAAATAATACAAATCTAAAGTCAAATGTCATAAATAAATTGCGTCAATACAAAAAAAATTTCGGAACTGGCAATACAGAGTCATAAGCTCTACAACAGAAGCACAATTCTGAAAATACAAAATGAAAATATTGTCTGAATAATAATAACAGTAACTAAAATGGAAAGGGACGTTAATGACTGTATTCTGAATGCAACTCTACCTCGTCTCTCGGCAGCTCATAGCAAACACGGTACAGAGTATAATATAAGTACAAGCGACCCCATATACTCAACAAGTATCATAACTAACCTCAGTGGCATAATAGTGGACTAATGATACTTACTAATAACCTATTCAGTTCATGAATTTCGCAGGTACACAGCAATGGTACCATCTAATCATAAAAAATACATAAAAATCACATCGGTGCACAAAGAGATAGTGTGTCAAGTCCTGCATGAGTTAACAACCCAGTATATAGAGAAGATATGCATATATGATCAAGTCTCGTGTGCACATGTAGACTTATATAGAAGATATGTATCATACTTGATGATAGGCTATAATTACGTATTTTAGTCACTTATTGCACTATAATTTATCGCACTTTAATTGAGTATGAGCTTTAATCGGTAGTATTTTGCATTACGTATTTTATGCCTTGTAGGAGTAATTCCAAGCTATATATATGTTACGAAATGAAATCGAGCTATTTGTAGCTTTGAAGTCTGAGTAAAAGCCCAAGGTATTAAGCCGGGATCGCGTTCGGGGAACGGTAACCACATCCGGATGTCAAAAACCAAGGAAAAAGTTCACTCTAAGAATCCACCACAGCCGCGGCGCATGGGCAGCACGTGGCGCGTCGTGGCTGCCTATTTTCTGTTGTTGCCAATTTTGCATGCTCTCTGATAAAGTCCACTACCACACCGTATGGCGCATCTCCGCATGCAGTGCGCCTGTGCAATTTTTACAAAGTCCTAATCCTATTTCGCGTAGGAAAAGGATTTTCGTCTAGGTCCGACCCTACTTGGTATAAATATATGTAAAAATGGTATTGTTGAGACTTTTTACATACTTTAGACCTAGGGACACACGAGAGCATTTGGGAGCAAGGATATCTCAGATTTCTTCATCGGTTCTTAGTATTTTCAATTATCCAACACTTATAAATTTTTTTGATACTATTATGAGTGGCTAAAACCCATAGTTCTGGGTTGTGATTTAGCCATGAATATTGTTGATTGAATTTGACTTAACCTTGATTATAATTCACTAATATATGATTGTTTCTTCAATTCTGTGATAAATTGCTTAATTGTCTGACCAGCAGTTAGGTTCTATTTACTATCTATGTTATGCTTGGGAAAGCCATATTTTGATTAGAGAAGAATTGAAGAGAGCACGATCTTAAATCTGGGAGGAGGTTGGATTTGTGGTTATGATAGGAATATACCTATTCACAATGTTTAATTAAATATCGTAATTTTAATGCATTCTTAATAGATTGATTTTAGAGGAATATAGGCGTTAATCTATAGGTGAGTAGTATTTTGGGAGAGGCTATGAGAGCAATTGTTCAATTATTTAGCAACCATGGGTGAATTGTATGAAAGGTAGAGTTAACTAGGACACAATAGGATTGGTAAATTGATCACAACCCTGGAATATTTGTCTCTACTAAATACACAATAATCATTTTACTGCTTGATAATTTAGTTACTACTTAGAATTATTGTGTAGTATAATTACACTCTTGAACTCGAATTTGCTCGAATAAATAGCAATCTTAGTGAATTTAGTGGGTAGTTGATACAAGTTTCTATGGGTTCGACACTCAACTTATCATTTTATTACTTGTGCGACCATGTATACTTGTGTGTGCGTTAGGGAGCAATAAGTTTTTGGCGCCGATGCCGGGACTTGAATATTGACTACTTTCTAGTTTTTGCTTTCATTGTTTATTTCGTCAAGTCTAATGTTACTTGATTGTTGCTCTAATATCGGGAACTTTGATTGAATGCGCAGGGTCAGAAGCCAGGATAAACTTCAAGACTTTGACCCCGAACCTGAGAGAACATTTCGTAGGAGGTTGAGGGAAGCAAGGGACACAAATAATCTTCAGGCACTTGTTCAATTTCCTATGAACATGGCAGAGGAGAACATATGGTTGTTCAGGAGGTGGAGATGCCCAACATTGCTAATGTCACCTCCAACATTGTGAATCACATAATCAACTGGGCATTTTGAGCTAAAACAGAGCATGATCCAGCTACTACATGCAAATGAGCAGTTTATGGGCCTTCCACACGAGGATCCACAATAGCATAGCCTAAATGTCTTGGAGATCAGTGATACTTATATCACTAATGGATTCACTCCAAACGATATGAGGCTCACACATTTCCCGTTCTCTTTGTTGGGCGAAGCAAAGCGATGGATGAAAGTAGACCCGGCTAATTCTATTACATCATGGAATGATCTAGCAGGAAACTTTTGGCAAGGTTCTTCCCTTCAGGCAAAACTACAAAGATCATAAGTGAAATAGTTGCCTTCAAATAGAAAGTGGGGGAGTCTTTATAATCAGCTTGTGAGAGGTTCGAAGGGCTGCTCAGAGACTATCCCCATCACAATTAGACAAACGAAGTGTTAGTTCACACTTTTATAGAAGGGCTACATCCTGAAACAAAAATTGTGGTAGATGTTGCAGCTGGAGGCCAAGTGTTGGAGAAAAGCTGTGATGAGATATATGTGTTATTGAACAAATTCTCCAAAAGCAATCCTGATTGGCAAGAATATATGGGCAGACACACAGTGCAAAAATCTGCAGGGGTTCTCGAGTTAGATGTCATCTCGGCATTATTAGCGCAGATTTCCACATTGACCAACCAAGTCAATCAGATGACCTTAGTTATTAACAAGCAACAAGCCCAGCCAGTGCAACAGGTTCAACTATTTTGTGAAGTATATGGAGAGGGTCATGCGAGTGACTTATGCCCAACTAACCTAGAGTATGTCTGTTTTGTGGGTAATGCAAATAGGGGCCAGACAAACTAGTATGGGAACACTTACAATCCCAACTGGAGGAACCATCCAAACTTCTCTTGGGGTGGAAACCAAGGTGCTCAGAATCAATATAGGCCACAAGCACCTCATAATATATATCACCTCAGGCTGAGCAACATGCAAACTCAACAAGGGGTGAAATTCAAAAATAACCAAATTTACAACTGGTCGTTCAAAAATAGCTCAATTTCAAAAGTAATCGAAATTTAGCCACTTTTCATATAAAGATAAATCTGATCGAAAATACTGTTCAAACCCTGGAAAATACACCAGTATATTATGCTGGAGTTCCAGCATAAGTATACTTGAACTCCAGCATATTATACTGGAGTTCCAAAATAAGGATGCTGGAACTCCAGCATAATATGATGGAGTTCCATCATAAGTACACTAGAATTCCAGCATAATATACTGGAGTTCCAGCAAGTATACCGATCCAGCATAATATACTAGAGTTTGGAGCACCGGTGCTCTAGTCTCCAGTATATTATACTGGAGCTAGCAAAGTATACTAGTCCATGATAATATGCTGGAGTTCATACACAGGTGCACCGAGCTCCAGTATATTATACTGGAGGTCATTGTTGCGGCAAAATAGTGGCTATTTTTTATTGACTTGGTAAACGCTGGCTATTTTTGAATGACCAGTCCGAAGACTGGCTATACCGTGCTATT